CAAACGCCTCCCCTAAACACTCCTGCCGCATCGATGCCAAGCCTCCCTAAGTGCTAACCCTAAACCCTAAACCCTAAACCCTAAACCCTAAACCCTAAACCCTAAACCCTAAACCCTAAACCCTAAACCCTAAATGCTAAACGCTAAACCCTAAACCCTAAACCCTAAACCCTAAACCCTAAACCCTAAACCCTAAACCCTAAACCCTAAACCCTAAACCCTAAACCCCCTAAACCCTAAACCCTAAACCCTAAACCCTAAACCCTAAACCCTAAACCCTAAACCCTAAACCCTAAACCCTAAACCCTAAACCCAAGTCCTAACACCCTGGGCTCTAAGGCCTAAACTCTCCCCGAAAGGCTAACACCATGGCCCCGAGAGCCCCTTGTGAGGACCCTGTCCTGGCGCACCGGCGAGGCGCTTGTCATAGATAGCACCTTCATCCGGCAGGAGCCGCGCTTGACTTGGGCTTCAGGATGTTCAGGTTTCAGGGCTTTGGGACTTCTTTTTTTTGGAGGTTGGTTGGGTAGGCTTCAGTGTGTCTTTTGAAGGCTTTTGCGGGAGTTTGTCGAGCCCTGAAGCCATGTTTTGGACCAGACCCTAAGCCCGACACATTAGACCCTAAACAAACAAGCCCGATCAGAGGCCATTCGGTGATCACGAACCAACACGTCGGCTGAGAGACGGCAGTTCGAGGAATCTTCTTGCCCCTGTGTTCCCGTTTAGAGTTTCGGGCTACTCACTCACAACAGGAAATAACGATGGTAAGCGTAGCTCTTTCAACCCTGAGCCTTCTACCCTTCCCCATTGGCAGGAGTGGCACAACGGAGTCCGGGGCGAGAACTACGTGCTGCAGGTGCAGTTTTGGGGGTATCAAATCGTTTCAGGATTGAGGGCATGTTTTGTTTTCTGTATAAGAAGGGCGTTTAGGTTACGTAGATAGCGTTTGAAGGGCTTCGAGCTTAGGGTTCGGGAGCTCTGCAAGAGGTCTCAAGATCTGATGGAGTTATTCGATTAGGTGTTTCACATCTGCTTGATACACACCGCGAAAACTCAGACCCGAAACCCTCCCAGCCGCACAACGTGAAGAAAGGACTCCCCAACCTCAAGCCCTGCTAATGCTGGTCATGCTGCATGGTCAGGGTCTGTCGTAGGAGTTTAGGGTTTTAGGGTTTGAGGGTTTGAGGGTTTGAGGGTTTGAGGGTTTGAGGGTTTTGGGGTTTTAGGTTTTTAGGGTTTTAGGGTTTTAGGGTTTTAGGGTTTTAGGGTTTTAGGGTTTCAGGGTTTTAGGGTTTTAGGGTTTTAGGGTTTTAGGGTGTTAGGGTTTTAGGGTTCTAGGGTTTAGAGCTTTAGGGCTTTAGGGTTTTAGGGTTTTAGGGTTTTAGGGCTTTAGGGTTGTAGGGTTTTGGGGTTTTAGGGTTTTAGGGTTTAGGGAGACACCCCCGAAAGTGTCTGAAATCTCGCAGCGCTGCCCAGGTGACCTTCTGCCACCCCTGTGAGGAAGCGCAGCGGCCACAGTATCCTGGGCCCCTGCCTTGTGGCGCGAGGTGGCCCTTCGGGTTCAAAGTTTGGGCCTGAGGGCCTTATCGCAGCCCTGAACCCTCGGCCTTAAACCCTGAACCCTAAAACGACCCCACACCCTCAAACCCTAAGCCCTAAACTCTAAAAGCTGCAAGGCCCGAAGCCCCACGAAATCCCGAACCCCTAAAACCCTACAAACCCTGGGCCCCAAAACCTCAACCCTGGGTTATGTCACAAGGGCCCAGACTTGGAACCCTACAAATTCGCTGGCGGCAGGCCAGCCGCCAGCCCGAGCAGTGCCATGCGGCCTGTTCTGCCGAACCAGGACTCTCGGCTCCGGGGCACTTCGTCCCCGACAATCGGGGTAGCCCCTATGTAGCACCATGTTGCCTTAGTCCTTTTCCCCCTCACCCTCCTCCCTCCCCCCCCCCAAAAAAGTAAAATACATAAACTCCCATCATTTTCCACACTACAGCTACCCGATGTGGGAGCCATCCTGCCCCGCTTTCGGGCAGGTAATTACAGAGACTTCGCCGCAGGCTTGTGTCGCGGGACTGAGAATTCTGGGGGCTCGGCGGGAGCCTCTGCGGGCCCCTCTGTGTGGGTGGGCACTCTTGCGGGCTAGAAGGTGGGCACTCCAGGGACACATTGGGCGAGGAGGCGCGGAGAATGGTGACTTAACATCTTAACAACCCCGACACCTTTGCTTGGGGGCTTTATATGTATAAAAAACAGATGTAGATGTAATTCTACATGCATGAAACCCTAAACCCTAAACCCTAAACCCTAAACCCTAAACCCTAAACCCTAAACCCTAAACCCTAAACCCTAAACCCTAAACCCTAAACCCTAAACCCTAAACTCTGTGCTGCCGAGGACACCGGCTCTTTGGCGGTGCCTTTCGCCGAGGCTGCACTCTGGGCTTCATCGCTGCCTGAGCTTGCGCTTTGCAGCTCCCGGGGCTTGGAATAAGGGGTTGGTTTGGGGTTTAGGGTTTAGGGTTTGGGGTTTAGGGTTTGGGGTTTGGGGTTTAGGGTTTAGGGTTCGGGGTTTAGGGTTTAGGGTTCGGGGTGTAGGGTTTAAGGGTTAGTTCAAGGGTTTAGGGTTCGTTCAGGGTTTAGGGTTCAGGGTTGAGGGTTGGGGCTTCAGGGATTGGACCTCGGGGTTTATACATAGTTCCGATTTGGGGTTTACTGTTTACGATCATGTTGGGCCGGAAGGAAGTGCTTCTTTATGGTTGGGGTTCACCGCTTCTACTTGCTTAGGGTTTAGTCAGGGATTGGGATTAGGGCTTATACTTGCGTATGGTTTCATGTAGGGGTCGGAATATCACTAAAAGTATTCCCTCATGGTCCTTTAATAAATATACTGTAATAACCCCCCAAAACCCTATTCGAATTATTCAGGCCCCTATATTATACCTGTTTAGGTATGACGCTTATTTGGCCTACTCGATAAGCGCGGCCACCGCTCAGGCCTAAACCCAGAACCCTAAATCCTCAGCCCTGAGCCCTGAAGCCTAAGATGCAAAGCAAAGGCACCGTCAACGAGCAGTGCCCCCCGGATTCCCAGCACGGTGGGCCCAATCCACTCAGTTCCCTGGCTGGATCAAGGCTTTGTGCAGCGTTTAGGATTTGCGGCCTTGGGATGATTGTGTTTTTGCGTATAGGTTTTAGGGTTTAGGGTTTAGGGTTCAGGGTTTAGGGTTTAGGGTTTAGGGTTTAGGGAGGCTTGGTCAGGAACGTAAGTCTTTAGAGCCCTTTGTGTGGCTCAAGGATTTGAAGCGCACGGCGTTCGATTTTGATGTTTGTCGTGGTGGTCTTCGTGTCTTTGGTCCTACAGACCCAGTGATATGGTCAACTTCCGTGAAGTCCCATGTAGCCCGACCCTAAACCCTTGACCCCCAACCCTAAACCCTAAATCCTAAACCATCGAAGCCCCAAACCCTACAACTCTCTAGACAACCCCAAACCCCAAACCCCAAACCCCAAACCCCAAACCCCAAACCCTAAACCACAAACCCTTGAAGCTTGGAAACAGGTGCCATGAACACCTGGAACTATGCCCTCAACAATCTGCGGGCCGCACTTCGGCACTCCCAGGCTACGGCCAGGTTTTGGCGGTTTGGGGCTGAAGGTTTAGGATTTAGGGTTTAGTTTAGGGTTTAGGATTTAGGGTTTAGGGTGTAGGGTTTAGGGTTTAGGGTCAGAGTTCAGGGTTTAGAGTTTCCAGGTTTCGAGGTGTTGGGCTTCTAGGCCTGCTTGCCTTCTTTGTTTTCAAATCCCCTCCCCCTTCCCCTGGATTGCTGGTCTCGAGGTGATGGGCCGCGGTCTTGTAGGGGGCTTTTTAGGGGCGGTTTGGTTGCTTGAAACCTAAACCCTGAACCCTAAACCCTAAACCCTAAACCCTAAACCCTAAACCCTAAACCCTAAACCCTAAACCCTAAACCCTAAACCCTAAACCCTAAACCCTAAACCCTAAACCATTATTTTTGAGAGTGCTCATGGCAGCTTGCAGGCGCCGAGGGCGTGGCGACTCAACGTTGGCAGTCTTGTGTATGGGATAGACATTCAGAGTTAGGGGTTTAGGGCTTAGGGTTTGGGGAAAGGCCCGGAACGATTCTTCATGAACCCTAAGCGAAACCCACAACGCCTAACACAAAAGCACCCCAAATGCCTAAACCCGGAAGCCCCCCCCTCCTCCCCACCGCCCGCCTGACCCAGAAACCCACAAGCCTCCGAACCATCCTGTTGAGGTGTAGGGCCCCGGTGGAGGTATCTCCCTAAGACTTAGCCCTACGACCTTTTAGGCCCAAAACTGCAACTAAGAAAAGCACACAAGACTTCGCATGCCATTTGCGCGTCCTTGTTTGTTGAATCGAGGTTGTTTTCCCAATCATCCCTCAACCCTTGGTTTGTGGTTCGGCTCCTACACAAGGATTCTGATGGCACCTCCATCTAAGTCTGAGAGCCACAGCTCTCATCCAGGACACACCCCAACTAGCAGCCCGATGAGACGGCCTAGACTCAAACCGACTCAAACCCAAAACTGGCCTATAAGCCCCAAACACCATCAAGAGGCCCTAAACCCCAAATCCTGCCCGGTTACGCCTTAAATCCTGAACCTAAGCCCTAAGCCCTAAACCCTAAACACAAAGCCCTAAACCCTAAACCCTAAACCCTAAACCCTAAACCCTAAACCCTAAACCCTAAACCCTAAACCCTAAACCCTAAACCCTAAACCCTAAACCTGCCCCAAAGCCCTTCGACAGGTGGAGGTGGATCCCGCGGTGCACACCGCCATTGCCCAGGCCTCTCGCACACTACGCCAGCGTGCGCCCTGAAGAGCCCCACGCGGGCTTGTAAGTTAGGGTTTAGGGTTTAGGGTTTAGGGTTTAGGGTTTAGGGTTTAGGGTTTAGGGTTTAGGGTTTAGGGTTTAGGGTTTAGGGTTTAGGGTTTGGCTGTATGCCTTTGGTCAGGCGCTGGAAGGCATCCAGGGCTTCTTGGCCATGCCCGCCCTGGCGCCTCGGCCGGCACTGTGGGCTTACGGATCCAAAAACCCAAGGTTTAGGCTTTAGGGTTTAGGGTTTAGGGTTTGGGGTTTAGGGTTTAGGGTTTAGGGTTTAGGTTTTGGGGTTTAGGGTTTAGGGTTTAGGGTTTAGGGTTTGGGGTTTAGGGTTTGGGGTTTGGGGTTTAGGGTCAAGGGTTTCGGGCTTAGGGGTCTGAATTGTCGAAGATGAGAAGCAGGGCTGTGTGCGTGTGGAGAGCTCTGACGTATGTTGATTTTTTTCGATCAAGATCCATGGACCCCAAACCCTCTGTAGACCTATTAGCCCATCGACAGGTATTTCTTATTTTTCTAGACCCTAAACCCTAAACCCTGAACCCTAAACCCACCCAACCCCAGCTACTTGCAAGGAGCAATATGCCCCCATTGTGCAGCTCTGCGGCCAGATCTTCGAAGCATTGAGGCACGGGGGTTTGGGTTTGGGAGTTTAGGGTTTAGGCTTGAGGGTTTAGGGATTAAGGTATAAGGTTTAAGGTTGAAGGTTTAAGGTTTAAGGTTTAGGGTTTAGGGTTCAAAAGAATTGGGGTTTTGGTTCAGGTTCCTGGGAGTGGCTTTGCTTTTTCCAGGCCTGGGCCGCCTGCCAGAAAGCCCTGAACCCTCAACGCACTTCTAGGTGGCTGGATGAAAACGGTTTTCAGGGTTTAGGGTTTAGGATTTAGGGTTTAGGGTTTTCACGGTGTAGGGTTTCGGGTTTGGGGTTTAGCAGCGTTGGGGTGCCCAACGCAGATGGCTCGGGGAGGACCCTGAACCCCGAAAGGCCCTAAACCGTAAACCCTGAACCCTGAACCCTGAACCCTACACCCTAATTAAACCCTAAACCCTAAACCCTAAACCCTAAACCCTAAACCCTAAACCCTAAACCCTAAACCCTAAACCCTAAACCCTAAACCCTGGCTGCCCAGGGTTTGGCTGCAACAGCAGCCCCCCGTTTCCTTGCGGCTTCCGGCGGGCCCCAGTCTGCCCATCCCCGCGGATGGACGGTCAGCTGGGCTGCTGGCCTTTAGGCCAGAGTTTTTGGTTCGTCCGTGTTTCCTTGGAGTTGGGGAGTTCAGTGAAGTGCTGAAGTTCAGGAGCAGTACTGGTTTGGGCAGGTCTTTCGGCCCCATTTTCCAGAGGTCAAGCTCTCCAAACAAACGTGCAGCATGGGGGAGGCTTGTGTAGCAATGCCTCGGGCTTGGCTCCCCCAAACTTAGCTGGGGTTTAGGCCCAAAACCCTAAACCCAAAACCCTAAACCTAAAACCCAAAACCCTAAACCCTAAACCCTAAGCCCTAAGCCCTACACCCCAAGCCCTAAAGCCTAAACCCTAAACCCTAAACTCGACACCCGAAACACCCTATGCACCCTATACACCCTATACACCCTAAGCCCTTAGGGTCCGCTTGCAAGTTGCTGTTGCGAGATCCGGAGCTCCTGGGCAGGCTGTCCAATGGCGTTGAGATGCCAGCAATAGGCGGGAATTGGGTTCTGGGGTGTGGGGGGTTTGCGGGGGTTTAAGGGTTCAGGGGTTTAGGGTTTAGGGTTTCGGGTTTAGGGTTTCGGGTTTAGGGGTTAGGGCTTAGGGTGTAGGGTTTATCGTCTCGGGTTTAGGCACAGCAGTCAGGAGACCCTTTACAACTCCAGCCACGAAACCCCATAACCCCAAGCCCGAAGCCGTAGAACCAGGAAAAGCCCGAAGCCCTGCCCGCTTCCCAAACTTGAAGCCCTAAACCCGAAACCTTAAAAAACAAACCCTAAACCCTAAACCCTAAACGCCAAACCCTAAACCCTAAACCCTAAACCCTAAACCCTAAACCCTAAACCCTAAACCCTAAACCCTAAACCCTAAATCCCTGAACCACAAACAATAACCTTTGAAACCTAGGACGCCGCAGGCCTGGACCTTGAACCCCGAAGCCTCACTTCGCTACTGCAAGCCTTTTGCCAGTAGTAAACCCTAAACCCTAAACCCTAAACCCTAAACCCTAAACCCTAAACCCTAAACCCTAAACCCTAAACCCTAAACCCTAAACCCTAAACCCTAAACCCTAAAAACCCCCTAACCCTAAACCCTAACCCTAAACCCTAAACCCTAAACCCTAAACCCTAACCCTAACCTAAACCCTAAACCCCTAAAAACCTAAACCCTAACCTAAACCCTAAACCCTAAACCCAACCCCGGAACCCTAAACCCCTAAAGCCTTAAACCCTCCTCCTGAACCCCTAAAACCCCCAAAACCCCTAAAACCCCTAAAGCCCCCTAAAACCCCTAAAACCCTAAACCCCTAAAACCCTAAAAACCCTAAACCCTAAACCTTAAACCTAAACCTAAACCCCTAACCCTAAACCCTAAACCCTAAACCCTAGACCCTACCCCTGCATTTTCGAAGCCGGACAGTTGGAGGGCGGTTCCAGAGCGGTGTGTTTTAGGGTCGAAAGGTGCTTTCGGGGTTTAATTAGTTTAGGGTTTAGGGTTAGGGTTTAGGGTTTCGGGTTTAGGGTTTAGGTTTAGGTTAGGGTGTAGGGTGTAGAGGTGTAGGGTGTAGGGTGTGTGGGCTTAGGTTTAGGGTCGAGGGCCAGGGCTGCTGCGTCGGGAGTTGAGAAGCTTTAGGGTTCCGAGCCGGTTTATGGTTTCGAGGCGTTTCGTGCTCCGGGTTTGTGGTTCCGTGCTCTAAAACGCTGTGCAAGGGATGAGTTTTGGGGGGCTTGCGAATGGAGAGTGTAGGGCTGGAGATGCGAGTCACAGTAAGACTGAAATGGCCCTCACCCTAAACCCAAAACCCAAGAGACCAAAAGGCAGCAATCTTTACCCCTGCCTGTTTGGGTTCACGGTCTTGAGTCATCTCTCTTGCTGGTACCTACGAGTCATGACTCTCCGGGAACACTGCCGGATAGTTGCAGGTGGGTAGCTTCCCTTTATGCGGGTCATAAAGGCTTATCTAATCACTCCCCGCAGGTTTCTCAAGGCTATTTTAAAACCAGGAATCCGTCCCACTTGTGCCTGCCTGCATCCTTTGCAAGACTGCGCAAGGTGGACCATGAGCACTGCGCGCTGTGACACACCGCCCAAGTTCTTCACCATCTGCCTTTGGGGCTCTGAGATTCGGGCTCCCTAAACCCTAAATCCGAAACTCCCTGAAGCTTACACTTACCTCTGAACCACCCATCTTGCAGGGTCACATACGTGCTTGCCTGGCCCAAATAGCGCGGCCTCCCCGAAAACCTGGACCCTAAACCCAGCTCCCTGAACCAGCTCCCTGAACCCTAAAGGGTTTAGGGTTTGGAGTTTAGGGTTTAGATATTGGGGGGGAAAAGGCAACGAATCTAAGGGTTTCTGTGAGGATTGCTATCGCGCTGTGCTCATGGCACTCCAGCGACTCGGCATGCACTTGGTGAGGGGGAGGGGAGCCCTCTTTGGGAACGCAAGCTGTGCAGTCATTGTCTTCAGGGTAGTTCAAGGAAAAGCAGTGCTCAGAGCTATCCCCGATAGAGCACATGGATGCTGGCTCCAGTGAGTACTCTGACCTGAGCACGCAGGAAGGAGGTGATTACCAGCAGCAGACGCTTGCCGACATCTTCAGATGGTATGGCTACAAAGTACAGACGAATGTGTACTTCTATCGTTCTGGTGACAACTGGGTCATGGAGCGCGACACAGGTTCGCTTCACAGTGCTCGGGAATTCGCTGACATCCTGAAGGAGAAGAGCAAGCGGGACAAATCCAGCAAAGATGGCCAGAAGGAGATGGAGCAGAGTGTGGTGGAAGTCGAAGCTGCTGGGTTCCACCGTTTTGCTGCTAAACTACGCGCATGGCAGCAAAGAGGAGCATGCGAAGAAGTCCCGATGGTCTTTTCGAGGACTGGATGTCCCATGCGGGAGGTGGATATTTTCATTGAGCCTATGGAGACAGTACCTGTGCTGCGCTGGGAGCCACCAGCTGTGCCAACTAGAAGCCGTCTGCCGCAGGGGTACGAATTGAAAGTAAGACTACATCTGGCAAAGTGACTGCAAAACGGCGCGACCGCTTACGCAGACAAAATGAAGTTGCACACGATCTGGGTTACAACAGTTTACTTTTCTTCAACGGTGATGATGTGGAGGCTGTCACGCGACAGATCGGTCCTCAGGTAGTGTGGTTTCACAAGAGTTCAATCATGGACTTTCACAGCAAGGCCATAGTTGTCGTGGAGAACGCGACAAGGCGGCTTGACCGTCAAATAAGATTTCTCGTGTGTGTCCTTGCAGGCCTTGTCTGTGTGGCATGGATGTTGGGAGCCAGCACCAGCTGAAGCGAAGCTTTGAGCTGTTAAGTGCAAGGTCCGGGTCCGGCCTAGCTGTGTCCAGGCAGCTCTGTCGGTGGCGTGAAAACCGAGCAGAAGCTTGAGCAGGCAGAGGCTTCTCCCATGCTGCTATGCTTGCCTGCGTAGTTGCATAAAAAATGTCCGAACCTGTAGCGCAGGTTAAAGCCGAGCCCTCAACAGCACCTGCGCCTGAGAGACGAGCTGTGGTTGCCATAATGTTCGGAGTCTGGAGTATGGTTATGCCGTAGCTTGGGGCTTAGAGTAAATTCAGGATGTGAGTAGATGCGCGTGTCTACAGTTCTTCTTGATTTAGGGCTTCGAGTGCAGACACATGTTCATGTAAATAAACTTTAAAACAAGGACAGTCAGTTTCCAAAGAAGGAGACATTACAGTATTGTGAGATTACATTTGACGACCAAGAAAGAGCACATTAAATCATTCTGTATTTTGCAAAAAAACCATATTTTACCAAAAAACATGTACAGAATTGAGAACTTGTATATTACTGGCGGAAGCATCTGGATGTACAAAGAAACAGGAACTAACCACACGCAATAATGACCTAAACTTGGTACAGAATGAAGTCATGGACGCCTTAACTGGTGTGCCATTTATTGAAAACAATTGTCACACGATGGTTTATGTAAGGGATGGGGAAATGTTTCTTGAACTTGTTGATGCGAGAACAATAGGCTTTGTGAGGCAGGAACATGGACAAAGTGAAATGTAGCTTTTGTAGAACATATGGGGAAACACATCTGTTTAAGGAAGGACTTGCGACTATTGTAGGGATAAAATTAAAAGGGTAGTTGTGCTATGGATAGGGTTGTGGGTTTGGTTGTTTTGGTTTAGGGTCTGTGTTGGATAAGGTTATGGGTTTGGGTGGTTGCTTTGGTTAGGGTTACGGTAACAGTCTTGGGTTAAAGTTGGGGTGGGGGTATAGGCGAGGGCGAATTAATATGGCATGGACTGGGGAACCTCTAAACCCCCTAAGACCCCCGGCAGCGCCTAAGACCCCTAAAACCGCTGAGGCCCCTCAAATCCCTCAAGCCCCTCAAACCCCTAAAACCCCTTAAACCCCTAAGGCCCCCAAGACCCCCAAAGCCCCTAACACCCCCTAGAGCTCCTAAAGCTCCCAAGACCCCGAAGCCCCTAAAATGCTAAAGCCCCTAAGGCCCCTATAAACCTGAATCCCTGGGAGCCGGGTTTAGGATTTCCACTCCCTTAAGCCCTAGGGTTTAGGGTTTTGGGTTTTGGGTTTAGTGCTAGACCCCAAGGCTTGTTCTGCTGGTAGGGCTTAAGTGCTTCAGGCTGCTTACCCCGGAAGCCTCCATCCCTAAGTCCAAAGCCCTATAACCCTCACAACAGCACCCGAAAACACCCCCTAGAAGCCCTCAGAAACCCTTACTGTAGGGGTTTAGGGTTTAGGGTTTCGGGTTTTAGGGTTTAGGGTTTAGGGTTTAGGGTTTCGGGCCCTTCAAACCCTCAAACCCTGCAGCCCCTAAACCCCAAACCTCAAAGCCTAAAGCTAAACCCTCCACAACTCGAAGTCCAGCATCCTCCCTACCCAAAGGCTCGGTCTGCGGCACATCGATACAGCGGAGGCGTACCAGAACGAGGCAGAGATAGGCGCATTCGGGGTGCTCAGGGTTTAGGGTTGAGGGGTTTAGGGCTAGGGTTGAGGGTTGGTGCTCAGGGTTTAGGGTTGAGGGCTTTTGGGTTTAGGGGTTAGGTTCAGGGTCCCGGGTCCCTGCCCTCAAAACCCTAGGCCCAAAGCCCTAAACCAATCCCTAAACCCGAGTAAAAGAAGTAACTTCCGACACGCCCAGCCCAATGAAGAGCTGGTTCAGACGCCTAGATACCAACCCTAAACCCTCAACCCTCAACCCTAAACCCTAAACCCTAAACCCTAAACCCTAAGCCCTAAACCCTAAACCCTAAACCCTAAACCCTAAACCTAAACCCTAAACCCTAAACTCAGGGTTGAGGGCTTAGGAGCTCGAAGTGTGGGACCTGGAGTTTAGCTTCTAGTGGTTCGGGCCCTGATTGAAGGGCCCCTGATACGGAGGACTCTCTGTATGAGGGGGCAGTGTTCATCTGGTTTGCATCTTCATTATTCACTCGTCGCGATTGGCCTCTAGAGCCGCCCGCAACCCCTAGGAGCCACAACCCCCAAACCTCAACTGCAAACCCTGAACCTTTGACCTCTAAACTCCTCTAGACCAGAGTCCCGAAGCCCCAAGCCCTAAACTCCAAACCCCGAACCCTGCGCCCCTGGCATCTAAAACCTCCAAGCTCTGACTTCTAAAGCCTCTGAATTTCAATCCCGGTCCCCTGAACTCTATACCTGAACCCTCAACCCCAAGCCCAGAACCCCTGAACCCGAACTAGCTTCCAAACCCTGAAAAACCAAACCCCTAAACCGAACCCTAAACCCGAAAACCCGAAACCCGAAACCCGATCGAGCGCTGCAGAAGTAGGCATATTGGCGGGCCTCTCTTCGTCTCTAGGAGTTGTTTATGTTATTCGCGCCGCCCTCAGAACCCGAAGCCCGAAGCCCGAAACCCTAAACCCTGAACCCTAAACCTTTGGATACCTTTGGTGTCGCCTCTGTCTTGCACAGCAGGCCGTGCCCTTCGCGATAGTGGCATCCCAAGGGAGCAGCTCTTCCTGGCGACGCAGCTGGACTGTGCCTGGCAGGTCGGTGCTTTTGGGTGTTTAGGGTAGATTTAATTTGGGTTTAGGGTTGAGGGTTTAGGGTTTTGGGTTCAGGGGGTTCCCCGAAACCCTGAACCCTAGAGCCCTAAGGCCCATATTCAAAAACCTACATCTGGAGAGGAGGACGCGCGGGAACTACTGTTTTTCGTTTTAGCGACGTCGTTCGAACACGCACTTTTCTACGTTTTTGGGTACAACCCGGCTTTGTCGAGAACCTCGCCCAATAAAATCCGAGATGAACATCGTGGACCTTCCCCCCACCCCCCCCCCCCCCCCCCCCCCCCCCCCCCCCCCCCCCCTGCCCCCTGCCCCCTGCCCCCTACCGCCAACCGCCGCCCTACCCCCCCCCCACCCCACCCCCTCTACCCCCTTACCACCAAGTATTGCTTGCTACGCGCAAGGCCAAAAACTTGTCAAGAAGACGCGGGCCCGGTCAAGCCAATCTCAGCCTCACCGACTTTGCACTTTTGAAGTCTCCAGCAATTTCTTGCCGACTTTGCAAAAGGAATCTATTGCTGCAACGTTGAAGATTTTGCACACATCTTTCCATGAGGATTGTTTTAATCCCCTCCCCGTAATACGAAAACCGTTCCCCCCAAAAAAGAACAAATTTGAAATTCGCCTCGGCCGGAAAATATATTTACAGTAGGGGGGGTGGGGGGCCTAAACCTTAAAACCTGAAATCCGAAGCCGAATTGAGTATGGGATTTGCGGCTTGGGACCTTAATCCCTAAACCCTAATTAAACCCTTAAAGCCCTGAGCCCTGAATCCTAATCCTGTCAGCCTTCAGCCCTAAACCCTGAAACCCTGATGGTTCAACTCAAGGGCGAAGGCCCCCAACCCCACCCCCCCCCCCCAACCCGAAAAAAAAAAACTCTCAGACAGGTTTAATATTGGGAGGATCCGGGAAAAGCAACATTTAAAATCAGCGCGGGGTTTAGTATTAGGGGGAAGCGACCCGGGCTTTTCGGGGCGGGCTCCCGTAGATCTGGCTGGCTTTTGTTCGCGCATCCCTAAAGTTTCTGGGCTTCAGGGCTGTCCTCCTTAGGACCTGTGTGGAAGTTCTTGCGTGGCTGCCTGTTCCCAACTGGGTCAAGGGCTGCGGTCACTGGGTTTATACATACAGGGAGTGTTTATATGCGGATCGCTGTAGGAATCTTTATTTGCTCAAATGGAGTTGGGGTTCAATATTTCAATATTTGGGTGCAATACGAAACAAGATGCCCCCGGTGAAGTTTCAGAGAAATCTTGTCTCCAGGACCGACCCGGACCCCAATATTGAAACAAGGTTTAGGGTTTAGGGCGTAGGCTACGTAGGGTTCTTAATATTTCAATCCTGGGGTTTGGGTGGGCCACGCCTGGAGCCAAGATTGGCTTGAAACTTCTCCTGAGGCATCTCGGTTTAGGGTTTTCGGGTTTCGGGTTTAGCGTTTAGGGTTTAGGGCTTAGGCTCCACCCCAATATTGATTTGTTGAATGGGAATTCAATGTTTCAATATTTGGTGAACCTGCTTTTTGTAAACAAATATCTCCAACGGCCTTTTTCTGAAACCTTGACACCTGAAACTTCAGCAATAAATCTTCAGAGGCCAGAACGTTACGCTTCAGGGTTGAGGGTTTACGTTTAGGATTCGGGTGTAGGGTTTGACGTTTAAGGTTCAGAGTTCAGGGCGTAGGACTTAGGGTTTCAAGGTTCAGGGTGTGGGTTTAGGCTTTACGCAGAACATAAGTTTTGCAGCAAACTAGGCTATCGGGTCTGACCCTCTGAACCAGCAGCTTATGCTTTGGGGCCGACAAACGTTCAGGTCTTCGTGCTTAGGGCAGTTTAGGGTTCAGGAGTAGGGCTAGGGGGTTGAGTCTTTCGGGTTAGGGTCTTTTTTAACTGACGAAAACCAGAGGTTGTGCAGAGATTCCAACGGGTTGTTGATGTTCCTGGCGTTGTGAAAACTAGCTGTTGGTTCAGTTAACTGTTAACTGTTTGCCCTTGTTGTTTGCCAAAACGTGACTCCTACGAAGTCCCTATTTTCGGGGCTGGGGGAACCTCCCCAAACCTGTAGAAAGCCCAAACCTCGTAAGGCTTAAACCCTAAACCCTAAACCCTAAACCCTAAACCCTAAACCCTAAACCCTAAACCCTAAACCCTAAACCCTAACCCCTAAACCCTAAACCCTAAACCCTAAACCCTAAACCCTAAACCCGAAACCCGAAACCCTAAACCCTAAACCCTAAACCCTAAACCCTAAACCCTAAACCCTAAACCCTAAACCCTAAACCCTACAATGAAGCCTGCCAGTGGCTGAGGAAGGCCACAAGCGTCGCGCTGGGCATGGCCGAGCCTGCGCATCTCGGAGCTTCAGGCTCAGGATGCGTTTGGTGAAGGGTTTTTGGGTTTAGGGTTTAGGGTTTTAGGGTTCTAGGGTTTAGAGCTTTAGGGCTTTAGGGTTTTAGGGCTTTGGGGTTTTAAGGCTTTAGGGTTGTAGGGTTTTAGGGTTTTGGGGTTTAGGGTTTAGGGTTTAGGGTTCAGGGTTTGCATGGGGTTCGGAGGGCAAAGATTGTAAGCGTAGTGTTTAATGGCATTTGCGAGTTGAATCCTTTGCCATTTTGCTTCCCTTCCTGTGGCCGTCTTCCGCGAACTCCTGTGTTTCTTTTCTTTCTTTTCCCTTTGTCTTTCTGCGACCATGCTTGCAGACTGGTAGGCAGGTATTGCAGGGATGATTTGTACGAAGCATGCGATGCTGCCGCACAGTTGTCTCAGGACAAGAAGGCCCTTCAGCACGTTGCTTCAGGCTCGAGGACAAAGGGTTTAGCAGCCGCAAGCTTGACCAGGATGTTGCGTATCCGCATGCTCTCCGCGGCCGAGGTGGCAATGCCTGTGGAGGAGGTGAGAACTGTGAAGGAAGTTAAGCAGCGATTGCACCAGCTGCACGGTCTACCTCCGCGCTTTAGGCAGAGGCTCCTGCTCCAGGATAGAATCTTAGACGATGCCGAGGATTGCCACTCGCCTCTGAGTCTGGACCTTGTACTTCAACCTCTTGTCGCTGCCGAGACACAAGTGGACGAGCTCATCTCAGCCGCCGGAGCTGGCTCCACGGAGAAGGCGGGTGCCCAGCACAGCCTAGGTGCTTTTGTGTGAGAGCACCCTTGAGTCAAAAGCATAGGAAGAGTCCAAAGTATAGGAACCCCCCAAAAATCAAGAGAGACCTTGCAGGTGGAGACTCTGCTGAAGCTGCCCGTGGACCCAAATCTGGTGGGAAGGACGGGCACAAGCCCGCTTGAGAGGGCAGCCACCCGCGGCCACAGGGAAGTCGTGCGCTTGTTGTTGGAGGCTGGTGCCACCGACAAGGCCAACAATGATGGCGACACGGCCCTGATTTTGGCAACTACCAACGGCTACGTTGACATCGTGCGTTTGCTGGTGCAGGCCGGGGCCGACAAAGACTTGGCTGGCAACAGTGGCTGGACACCCCTGATGATCGCAGCTTTGGACGGCAATGTTGCAATCGCGCACTTACTGGTGGAGGCCGGTGCCAACAAGGACTTGGCCGACAAAGATCATGGCTACACAGCCCTGATGCTCGCAGCTGAGGCAGGGAAACCTTTAGTGGTGCGCTGTCTGCTGGAGGCCGGGGCCAACAAGGACAAGGCCAACAAGAAGGGCCACAGAGCCCTGATGTGCGCAGCTAGCTCCCGAGTGTGTCGTGAGACACTGGAGTTGCTCCTGTAGTTACCCCAAGCGACTGAAGCCGGACCTAAGCACGCAAGCGGAAAACGGCTCAGGGCCTCGAGACCCCCAAGATCCCCCCCCAAGCTCCCCCCCTGAAAGGGTCGAAGCCCTCGGAGGGGATGAGGGACCCTCCGTCCCGGTAGTCGACCCCTACGTCCCACCGGCAGAGGGGTCTTGTGGAGCCCTTCTAATGGCTTCTGCAAGTGGACGAAGCAGGTGAACGACTTAGTGTCAGAAGGCGCATGATTAGCCCTAAACTCTACTCCTGAACGAGGTGCTCAACCCTAAGCCGTCCCAACCCTAAACCCTAAGCCCTGAACCCTGAACCTTAAACCCTAAACCCTAGACCCTAGACCCTAAACCCTAAAGGCCCTAAACCCTCAAGGCCCTAAACCCTAAACCCTAAACCGCGCTCCAAGGTACTTGGAGGCCATCGTTGCTGGTCAGCTGCAGGCGCTGCAGACAGACTACCTTGACTCTTGCTTGCTTCAGCTGGTTCAGAGGGGCCAGGGGTTTCGGCTTCTGTTGGCGAGTAGTACATCCGGCAAACTGGCTCTGGGCTAGGTGTTGCGATCTGGGATGCTGGGAACTACAAGAGTTGAATCTGCTCCACGTGAACCACATAGTCTTAGGGTCTTAGAGCGACGCGATCTCCCCCCACTTGCCCCGCTCGGCGGAGCAGAGTTAGGCTTACTTGCCCGCTTGGCTCCCCTTAGCCGCCCTATTTTTTAGGGTTTAGGGTTTATATGGTTTAGGGTTCAGGGTTTAGGGTTGAGGGAGGCCTCCGTCAATGGGGAAGTGGGGCAATTGCGGCTGATCGATGCAGGGAAGGAGGCTGAGGGTCAAAGCCCCAAAACAAGATCTCAGGTCCGCCCTATACACCCTACATGTTCCCTAAACCCTAAATGTTCCCAAAACCCTAAAGTCTAAACCCTAAACCCTAAACCCTAAACCCTAAACCCTAAACCCTAAACCCTAAACCCTAAACCCCAAGGGCTGAGCATTTAGGACGTCTACATGCTCCACGCAGCTGGGGTTTCGGGGCCGAAGCTGCAGGAGGTCTGGAGGCGCCCCGGCAGCAGAAACCCTAAACCCCAAACCCTTAAACCCTAAACCCTAAACCCTAAACCCTAAACCCTAAACCCCAAACCCCAAACCCCAAACCCCAAACCCCAAACCCCAAACCCCAAACCCCAAACCCCAAACCCACCTCTCCCAGCTCCATGGAGCGACTCGTGGACCTGGGTCGGGTGCGCGCGCTTGGGGTGTCCAACTTCGGCGTGCAGGAAGAGGGCCTGCAGGGTTTAGGGTTTAGGGTTTGGGGTTTAGGGTTTGGGGTTTAGGGTTTAGGGTTTAGGGGTTTAGGGGTTTAGGGGTTTAGGAGTTAGGATTTTAAGGGGGTTCAAGCGTTTAGGGTTTAGGGCTTAAGGCGGTTTGGGGGTTCAAGAGTTTAGAGGTTTTGGGGCCGAGGGTTTAGGGCTTGAGGGTTTTGAGGTTTCGGTGTTTTCGGGTTTTGGGTTCAGGAGTTCGGAAGTTTGCGAGACCCGCGATTACCCTTACCTAGAAGGCCCTAAACTGTGGGTCTTGCGGGGGTGTCAGCGGCTTCGGGATTCGGGTTTAAGGGTCTTGCGGTCTTGCCATTTCAGACCTCCCCCTTCAATCAGGAAATAGAGGGCCCTGAAGAGCAGGCCCTCCGAAAACAAGTACTAGAGGATAGTTGGGGCTTCAGAGTGCTGTGTTGGACGACTCAGACAGGGAGGCTTCGGCTTCAAGGGGTCACGCTTATTGGGGTTTGGCGACCCTCTAAACCCTCGAAGGAGCTGGAAGCTTTGTGGTCCTTCGCTCGCATCAAGCCGGTCTACATGCAGAACATCTTCAAAGTCTACAAGTTCCCTGGCACTGCGATAGACTGAGAGCTCTGTTTGATTTCTGATTCCCTACAGCAGTGGACTGCGCAGATGTGCGGGTTTAGGGGTTTAGGGGGTTTAGGTTACGGTTCGGTCTTGAGTCCTTAGGTTGGGAATTTGGGGCTTGGGAGTTTTCTTTACACCAGCTCCCTGCCCGTGTCAACTTGTGGTGTTGGTTGAAAGCGCAGGGTCACTTGAGCCAGAGCCTGGTTCCCCTGAGCCGAATCCCCCAAGCCTTGCCCACGAAAGCCGAAGCCTGAACCCGCTGCCCCGCCTAAGTCCTGCAAGGCAAGGTGAGCAGATTTTGGGCGGCGGTACGACTGGAGTGCTTGACTGGGCCAGGGCTCACGGCACCCCGTCATTGATATCGCTGCTGCGAAGCTGAGGGTTCAAGGTTTAGGAGGGAAAGGAGAGGGAGAGAGAAACCAAGGCCCGCCGAAGAGAAAGAGAGAGAGAGAGAGGAGACTCCAAAAGAGAGTGAGCAAAGAGGGTAGGGGCGTGACTGCCAGTAGAAGATGCGACAGAGTGCGTGGTCCTGCGGGTACTATAGGGTCGGAACAATTGCTACTAGCTTTCCCTTATGGTCCCTATAATTTAGACTATAAAACCCCTATTCTAGTTATTACTGTAAGGCCCCGATTACACCGGCAAAGCATCCAAACCCCGAAGCGCTAAATTGAGCGAATTTTGAGGTTCGGGTTTGGGGCTTTGAAAACCCAGACCCCCAGAGCCTGTTTCACGTGAGCCCTAAACCCTAAACCCGAAACCCTAAACCCTAAACCCTAAACCCCAGACCCTAGACCCTAAATACACCCTCAGGCATGATCATGGTCGGCTACAGCACAATCAACTCCTGGCCCCATCTGCTTCCACCGCTCCAAGTCCCTGGGCTTGGGGCTAACTGGAGGTAGGGTTTAGGGTTTAGGGTTCAGCGTTTAGGGTTTAGGGGTGAGGGTTTAGGGTTTAGGGTTTAGGGTTTAGGGTTTGGGGTTTGGGGTTTGGGGTTTAGGGTTTGGGGTTTAGGGTTCAGGGTTTAGGGTCCAGGGTTTAGGGCTGTTCAGGGTCTTAAGATGCAGTACGGATGGTTTGCGGATTTGGGTACCCTTGGCCCTAATTAACCTCGACCTTGTACTCCACCGTGTCGGGATTCTCAGGTTTTTCTCGTGGAAATGATGAGCACCCCGCCTCTATAAACCTTAAAGGTAGTCTTTCTTGAGGACTTCGTTGCTTCAGGGTTGTCCGCATGAAGCGCTCTGCCGCGCTTCTTTCGCTGTGATAGCCAAGGACCCGCACGTCCTGGCCATTGCCCGGGCCAAGGGCCGCACAGCGTCGCAGGCAGGAAGGTTGCGTCAGTTTAGGGTTGGGGTTTAGTGTTCTGGGATACCTGCTTGGCTGCTCTCAGAAGTAGGATTCTGATAGTCAGTCTTTGATACTATTTGGTACAGTGTGTCTGTAGGCTTCAGGGTTTTGGCACATCATGTCGGGTTTGTGAACGTTCGATGTCGGGCTGCTGGCTCAGTGGGACGGAGCCCGTCTGCCTCGATTCACAAACCCGGCCTACCTGGAGATTTGCGAGAAAACCTAAGCCCTGTAATCTATAAACCCTAAACCCTAAACCCTAAACCCTAAACCCTAAACCCTAAACCCTAAACCCTAAACCCTAAACCCTAAACCCTAAACCCTAAACCCTAAACCCTAAACCCTAAACCCCCAAACCTCTTTTGACAGGTCCTCCACCGCTGGGCGCTGCAGCACGGGATCGCCGTCATCCCAAAGGCCCCCCCCGAGCTTTTTTTGGGGGTTTAGGGTTTTAGGGTTTTAGGGTTTAGGGTTTAGGGTTTAGGTTTATTAGATTCATTCTAAGCCTACAATGTAGGGTTTACACGGGGGGATGTGAACCCCAGTGGCTTTTTGGGGTTGTTTTCATGAGGGGATATTCTTCGTTTTGCCAGGCCCTAAACACAGCCCACAACGGGGATCCTCATTTTGTAAGGGTTTGGGATGGGAGGTAGGGCTTCGCCATTGAGCCTATAAACTCTAAACCCTGACTCTGTATCAACTCTATAAACCCCATTTTGCTCCCCATCACCGCATTCACTTTAACCATCCCGAATTGGAAAGCCACAAACCTTTGCTTCTTCGGACTCGACAGTGCCGCGCGAGTCCCATGAGTCCAATTGCAAATTTATTCCGTATGGGAATAGCAAGGCTTCAGGGAGAAAGTGTTTTAACAACTTCACTCGAGAATCTGACATGACTTCTCTTTCCGGCACTCTGGCGGATGAAAGTCCACCCCGAACTAAGTTGTCATACTGTAAATTTACTTCGGGGTGGAAGTGTGAATGCGTGGGAATACCACTGTGATCCGCTATAGGATTCCAAAGGGGAACGGAGTTGTAGGTCATGTATTCGCAGGCTTGCTACCAACTGTTGTCCTGCCTCTGTTTGTGATCATGTACATGGTCAGACGTTGACTGCTTGCGGTTGTTCAGCGGGTCATGCACAAGGCATTGCAAAAGCATAAACGAGGAAACAAGCCTTTCAACCGTTCTAACAAGTTCGCAGAACAGCACAAACATTGAATTTTACAGCAAACGTCGTCGATCCAAGCAGAATGTACATCTATGATCTACAAACTATGTCAAACTATATTAATCGTATAGCTTCCGTATATTGTAAATGTATACGAGTATAGAATGTCTTATGTTGTCATATAAGTATACACATATATATATATAGGCATATATATCTATATATATAGAGGCACATACAATATATACATATATATATATATAGAAAGGGCTTCAACGACTATACTTGAGGCCCGTGGATGTTGACAGATCAGCAGCGCTGCGCATCTACTTGCCTTGTGGGGAAGAGTTGGCGGCCTGGCCTGTCGAGACCTTGAGCGACGTGCGATCCCTGAAAGGGCAGTTGGAGCCAATCTGCGGGTGGCCACGCTTCAGGCTAAAGCTCCTGCACGATGGCAGGACTTTGGATGACACCCTTCTGCTAAACTCCCCTCTGGATGTCCAACTGGTCAAGCTGAGCAGGAGCAGACACGCCATTTCCAGAACGCACTGGAGAGTGGCGATGCAGCTGAGGTTGAGAAGATCTTGATGCACTCCCACGACCCCAATTTGGTGCACGAGGGTCGGAGTCCACTCTCCATCGCGTCGGAGGCAGGACATGCCGACGCAGTGCGGTTGCTCTTGGAGGCCAGGGCTCACTGTTCCGGTGCCATCCGATTTGGCTATGGGCGAAATGTAGAGGTGTTGCGGCTGCTGCTGCCGAAAGGTTTTCATAATGATTCTTGGTTGCATGACAGCCTCTCTGAGGCAGTATGCGGAAACTCGATTGAGGCAATCCATTTGCTGCTTGAGGCACGTGCAGAACCCCTTCATGACGTTCCCGAGATGCGGGACTCCCCTCTCCTTGTCGCAATTGAAAGGCAGCACATCGAGGGTCTCCGAGTACTGCTGCATCATCTGAGCGTTCGTTCAGAAGAAAGTTGGGAGCGTGATGACCGTATGAGCGCGTGCTGTCAAGGTGTTGTTAATGCGTCTTTTCTCGGGCATGCCGAGATTCTGCGCGTGCTTTTGGACGGACATTCTTGGGACCCTCTCAGCGAACCTTACGGGTTGCCCGTTGTGGAAGCCCTCCATGCTGCTGCTAGACGAGGACACCGCAGCATCATCGAAGTTTTTCGGCAACTGCTTGGTGGAGCCATCTCAGGTTTCCTGGACGAGGCCCTGCAAAGTGCCGTTGTGTCAGAACGAGATGAAGATGGTTGGTTGCCATGTTGGTTGTATTCTTTGCAGTCTGTGGAGTTTTTGCTGGAAGAAGGCGCCCATTTCACCGACAGCTTTCCCGCTCTGATCATCATGCTTGAGCACTATCCACGTGTAAGGGTCGCGCGCTCTTTGTTGAAGTTAAAGGCCGGGGTGGATGTGCCCGTGCCCTTCTATAAACTAGGCGACGTGAACGAACGTTCCATCATATATAGAAATTTTGGATTTGGCTACCGCAAAAGCAAAAATGCTGACATCATGGGGATGACGGCCCTCATGTATGCGTCGGGGTGCGGCCACGTCAAGCTTGTGCGCATGCTCTTGAAAGCACGAGCTGCCGTAAATTATGCCGACAGCAGAGGCCGAACAGCCTTTTCATTGGCTTCCCAGCATGGTCACGCAAGGGTGTTCCGTGTGCTGATGCTGGGGAAACTGTCCGAGGTGGGTGCCATCCACAATGATTGCAGCTCATCTAGTGAATCTAGTGAATCTAGTGAATCTAGTGAATCTAGTGAATCTGACTTCGACCTATTTGCGTAGTGGTGACTCGGAAATGTGCGAGTGGCCGTGCCAGGTTTTTTCCGGGCGAGCTACTAGGTTGTAGCTGATGGTCCTTGTCAAAGGATTGCTTCGGGATTACATTCTTGATACATGACTCACTTTGTTCAGCAGTAAGTGGGTCTTGGTCTCAGATGTGCAGAGTCGAGACATCCCAAATATGGGGCCGTTCACTTGGTGCATGAGACATGTGTAATTTCACGTTTGTGTTCACTGATATACAAGTTGAAACGGAAGGCCCTGTGCCCTGTAGCATCAGCGACTCAACTTGCTGCACAGGAGTGCGGCACACCAGACTGAGTTCAACTTGTTCCAGTCGGGGTTCTAAATGCCCTCACAACACTGCATGAGGTCCCAACCAGTCTAGATGAAACCCTACAATTTAAACCCTATAAAGCCTACTAGGTATAAACCCATAAACCCTGTAAACCCGTAAACACTACAAACCCTATAAACCCTAAACCCTTGTTGGGGTGAGGCTTCGAGCATGGAGCGCATCCGGGAGAACTCCGAGCTTCTGGACTTCGAGCACCTCGCGTCCGAGATTTGGGGTTTAGGGTTTGGTTTAGAGTTTGGGGTTTAGGGTTTGGGGTTTAAGGTTTAGGGTTTGGGGTTTAGGGTTTGGGGTTTAGGGTTTAGGGTTTGGGGTTTGGGGTTGAGGGTTTAGCAAGATCTGCGCCGGAAGGGTGCAGAGAATTTATCTTGGCGTGGTGTATGCCCGAAACCCTAAACCCTAAAACCCTAAATCCGAAACCCTAAGCCCTAAACCCTAAACCCTAAACCCTAAACCCCAAGGGTTCGCGGCGACGTAGCATCCGCGCAAGGCTCTCTGAGATGCAAATGGCAGCGTTAGATGGCCTGGCGACGCTGAGTGAGTCTAATCATGCCGAAGTGCGACCATCCTGGCACCAGGACTCTTGAATGTAGGGGTTTAGGGTTTAGGGTTTAGGGTTTAGGGTTTAGGGCTTAGGGCTTAGGGCTTAGGGCTTAGGGCTTAGGGTTTAGTGCTTAGGGTTTAGGGTGTAGGGCTTAGGGCTTAGGGCTTAGGGTTTAGGGTTTAGGGTGACCATATGGCCTTGTAGCAAGTGTTTTCTGAAGTTCTTTCGCAGACGGTTTCCATCCCTTCCTCGTATTTCTTCCACAAGACACGAAGTGAACCTGACCTTAGCAAGTTCCCACAAAGGCCCTAAACCCTAAACCCTAAACCCTAAACCCTAAACCCTAAACCCTAAACCCTAAACCCTAAACCCTAAACCCTAAACCCTAAACCCCAAACCCTAAACCCTAAACCCTAAACCCTAAACCTCAGCCTACTGCCAGGATGTGTACGGGCTTGGTGCGGGAAGTCAGCCGCCAGTGGCGCTGCAGACAGAAGGATTTGTGGAGGCAAAGAGCCCTGAATCTCAAACGTCCTAAACCCTAAACTCAAACGTCCTAAACCCTAAACCCTTAACCCTAAACCCTGAACCCTTAGCCCCAAACCCTTGACCCTAAACCCTAAACCCTGAACCCTTAACCCTAAACCCTAAAGCCTTGACCCTTAGAAACCCTAAATCTGTAGAAGCAGGGGGATGACCCTTTCAGCCTTCAGCTTCGCATCTGCGTGAGTGCCCCCACACGTTTCCGTGTGTACCGTAGAGCGCAGTGCCCAAGCCCCTGAACCCCCCAAGCTTTTAGGGTTTAGGGTTTAGGGTTTAGGGTTTAGGGTTTAGGGTTTAGGGTTTAGGGATAGACCCAAACCCCTAAACCCTAAGGCGTAGATACTACCCTGAAGCTTCAAGACTCGAAGCCCTCAACAGCAGACGCTACTACCCTCAACCCCTCGAGCTCAGAGACCCTACCCCCAAGCCCTAAGCCTAAGCCCTAAACCCCTAAACCCCTGAACCTAAACCCCTGAACCCTAAACCCCTAAACCCCTAAGCCCCTAAGCCCCTAAACCCCTAAACCCCTAAACCCCTAAACCGCTAAAGCCCTAAACCCCAAAACCCCTAAACCCCTCAGCCCCTCAACCCCTAAACCCCTCAACCCCTCAACCCCTCAATCCCTCAACCCCTCAACCCCTCAACCCCTCAACCCCTAAACCCCTAAACCTCTAAACCCCTAAAACCCTAAACCCCTAAACCCCTAAACCCTAAACCCCTAAACCCCTGAACCCTGAACCCTGAACCCTAACCCTGGAAGCCTCCCGTCCGCCAGGCCGTGCGGGGTGAGCAGTGCATACGGGAGCCGGAAGAAGTGAAGGCGCTTAGGGTTTAGCGTTTTGGGTTTGGGGTTTGGGGTTGAGGGTTTAGGGTTTAGGGTTTAGGGCTGGTGTTGAACTGCAGGTGCAGTTCATGGAGTTCGCGCACTGCTTTTTCCATGGCTGGGCGACAGATGCTTTGAGGTACGACTTAAAAGGCACCAAACACAACGACGACACAAGCAACACGTCCATTCAGGACAAACTTGTCTAGCTACTCTGTACACTGTACATACCATACAAGCTAGAAGGTGTTTGAAGTTACACCTGGCCTAAGAAGGTTTCTACGTAGCCTTCTCCTAAAGGTCAAAACATTCGCAAGGACACAAAGATTCCAACTGCACAACTTGATACCTCATACCTGAAGTCCTGAAATCCCGGGTGCACGCTGGAGGTTTTCAACACTCCTCCTTGCTGGCGTCGTCAGGCTGCCAGCACACACTGCACTATTTACAGCCTGCGTGTAGGGATATACTTTGGACCTTTGCACCTCTGCACTTTGAACCTCTGGCACCTGCAAACCGGCCTCGCCTGTTGGCGGGCGTTAATGGCCTGCATGGTACGCGTCTCTGCAAACGCGAGAGGGTCTTAGAGGTTAGGGGTTGCTACGTCTTAAACCCATTCATTAGGGCCAAGTTGTACACTTGCAGAAAGCACGGGCCGGCGGCACTTCGTGCTGCATGCGCATCTTGAGGCTCGGAGTGTACAAGAGCTCGCAGGTTTAGATCTGACACTGTCTGCGCCGAACTTTAACGCGCAAGCAACGACGCTTAACGACGAGAGTCGGACCTCGCATTCTGCAAAGACCTGGGCAACCTGGGCAACCTGGGCAACCTGGGCTGACACGGCCTCGCTAGTTGGCGGGCTAGGAGCACAGCACTTGCAACTGCAACGGGGGCTGCAGCAGAGTCTCCGTCAAGCTTCATGCCTGGCAGCCGTGTCACGAGTTCATCTTTGATGGCCCTCTGCAGTCGCTACGCACCTCGCGGTACCTTGAGCCTTCACGCCTGTGCACCTCTGTGGCTTGCGCCTGAGTTTGCTACGCTGTACACTTGCAAACTGAGGACAGCTGCACGGTCTCACGGCTGAGACTTGCAGATTAGTTTCGAACTCTTAATTTACCCTTCGGGGCCTTGAAGGAAAACACTGGCTTACCGCCACAAGGGTTCCACCTTAGTTTTAGCTTAGCTGGAGTCGCGCCACTTGGGGTCTCAGAGTGACACAGAGACTGGCTTTCCTGGCACCTTGCACCTGAGTGTGGAGGCTGTGCAACGGGCACACCTTTGCAGGCGACAAAGCACCTAGGGATTACGCCGGACTGTACCTCTACAGACTCACACATATTTGTCGTTAAGGTATTGGGACACCCCTAAAAAACTACACGGGAACCACACGGGAACCACGGCTGCATATGATCCTCGAGCCTTCGCAGCAAGGCAGCTCAAGGACTCAGAAAGGTCTGGCGGCATCACACACTGCACACAAAGGAATGCAACAGACCTTACACGCATGGGTTCGGGTAACAAGCTCATTAGCTTACTGTTTCGAGTTTTTAAGGGATCTGCGCCCCTTCTGCGTTCAAACCTTACTCGGGTCCTAGTACAACGGTTAGGCTGAGCAGACTGCTCACAAGTGACTAGCGCGAGACAGCAAAGTTTAAGGCTTCAGACGGCTTGGCGGAGTGTGGCTGCAAAGGTGTACGGTGAACGAAGACAGCAGAAACTGCTTTGGCTGAGAGACATCGGACTCGCCCACAAGCGTTCTTGAGATGCGCACACACGCCATTGAAGTCACGTCCAGCAAGTAAGCAACGCCTTTGCCTGCCGACTGCCGACTGGACCTTTCTTTAAGGCAGCCCCACAAACAAGCGCAACCCAACACTACATCAAGGACAAAGTATTGCTTCACCAACCCATCTGGCTGCATCTTGTGAGAGTTTACTTTCTCCCCGTCTGCGCCTTGACTGGGCTGGATCCTAAGCGCAGCAAAACACTCAGCACGACTTAGTCTGCCGAAGTGCTCTGCCTTCAAGCTCGGCTTGAGCATCAGCAACACCAACACCACACACGCTGCCTTGCCTGTTAAGCGGGCACATTCTTTGATCTCGAGCGCGACATTTGATTGAGTACTCGTTGGAAGATGCCGGCAAACTATACAAGCAAGTGCACGACGTGCTTAGGCTTTAGGGGTTTACGGGCGGCCTGGCCGGTTTGCCCCCGGCACGCAAGGGAGTGCAACAGGCCTTCTGCGCACGGGTTCGGGACTAAGCACGCTTAATTAGGGAGCCTTAAACCGCTTAGGGTGCGGAACTTGGCACGGACAAGGAGCAAGTTCATCACCGTCGCTTCTCCTGTGCTTGGCAGTTCAATTACGGTTGCGTGCACGTGTGATAAGCTCTTCACGAGCGGCGCAACTTGGTTGCAAAGGCACATGGTTGGGGCAAAATGCGTCAACGCGCGGCCTGATACTTCATCTCGGCTTTGGCATCATGTGGGCATGGCTTGGGTCATCAGAACCCTGATCGCCCGACAGCGCAGCAATCACCTGACGGATACCTTGAAGAACCTCGGGTGATACTTGGAGTTCTGCACTGGAACGCTTGGCAGCGCAAGCTGAGGCAGCGTACTTGACCAGCGCAGCAAGTTTGCCTTGGCACGTGGGTCTGGTTGCGCGTGCTTGCCTCACTCAAAAAACACAACCGGCGACAGCGCAGGCAATATTTAGCCATCACGCGAGCCAAGTAGCGCCACTCCGGAGTTACGTCTGCAGGAGCCGCAACAACTCACCAACAACTTGCGTTTTCTTAACCCTAAAACCTTAAACCCTAGACCCTAGGATGCTAAACGCGCCTGGTGAGCGGCCTCCCCTTGACTCCTGCAGCAGCTCCTGGCACTGTAGTCCACCTTTTCGGTCACGCTTTTGCGACCACACATGGCACGAAGTTGCCACGTCTCACTCTCACGCCCTCAATGCTTCAACTCGTGACTCTGGGGCTTCACAGTAGTTGGCGGTACATCAAGGTTAGCAATTCCAAGCAAAAGGTTTCTCCAACCTAAACTTAAACAGCAACTACCTTTCAGAAGCTAGCAAGAGCTGTCGCTGCTCTCAAGCCCTGTGCCTTGGCGCATCCAACACACATGTGCAAGCCTGACTCGAGAGCAACCCTGCTGCAGGCTACTACGGAGTCACCCCTAAACAATCGCTAGCGCCGAACTCGGCCTCCCTTGCAAGGGGCGGGAGAGGCTTTGCAGACGACTGCTGAGAGCCGCAGGTTCTAGGGAAACTCGCCTCTTTTGCTCTGGGGTCTGACCGAAGCAGGACGTGCTCACCAGTTTCGGGCTCGTGGCTTATAGCTTGGAACTTAGAGGGTTGGGCGCGGGACAGCTGTTGCCGGGTCTACTTACTAGGCGGGGTAGGGCTGGCCTCTTCTACTGGAGGGCTGTTCGGCTCCGTCCTTGCCTCAGCGCCTTAGGCCAGGCAAGCGCTTGTGAGATTGTCAGAGTCTTGCAAGGGCAACTTGGATCTTACTTGGCATAGCAAGACGCCCGGACAAACTTTGCAAACTTTGCAAACACTCTAAAGCCAAGGTCACGTGAGGACGCGCTGCTACAAGGACCTGCACTCACACCTGCTTTCCACTTCACGTTGAACGCGTAGCACCTACAACCTTTCCTGTCTTCAC